TGGCTTTGGGGTGAAATGTTCTGAAGATGTCAATTAATTCCATCTGATCTAGTTTAGTCATTTAGGATTGATGTTTCTTTGCTGATTTTTTGTTTAGAGAATTTGTCCAATGGTGATAATGGGGTATTAAAGTCCCCTACTATGATTGTATTGATGTCAATCTCTTCCTTGATCTCCTCCAGAAGTTTTCTTATGTATTTGGGTGCTCCTATGTTCGGTGCGTATATGCTTCCCAGAGTTATTTCTTCTTGTTGGATTGCTCCCTTTAGTTTTATGAAGTGGCCTTCCTTATCTCTTTTTATGTCCTTCACTTTGAGATCTAATTTGTCAGATATAAGTATTGCTACCCCAGCTTTTTTTTTATTTCCATTCGCCTGTAAAACCTTTTTCCATCCCTTCACCATCAGTCTGTGTGTGTCTTTTTTCTGAGGTGGGTTTCCTGTAGACAGCAGACATATGGGTCATGTTTGATTATCCACTCAGTTACCCTATGTCTTTTGATTGGGGCATTTAACCCATTCACATTTAAAGTTATTATTGATAGATACTTGTTTGTCGTCATTTTTATTCTTTACCCCTGTTTTCCTTCTTCATTTCCTGTTTTTTTTTTTTCTTTTTACAGCAGACCCTTTAGCATTTCTTGAATTGCTGGTTTGGTGGTAATAAACTCCAGTAGTCCTTTTTTTGTCTGTGAAGCTCTTGATTTCACCCTCAATTTTGATTGATAGCCTTGCTGAGTACAGTATTCTTGGATTCAGACCCTTCCTTCACATGACTTTGTATATTTCATTCCATTCCCTCCTTGCCTGATGTGTTTCTGTTGAGAAATCAGTCACTAGTCTGATGGGAGATCCTTTGTAGTTAACTTTCTGTCTCTTTCTGGCTGCTTTTAAGATTCTTGCTTTGTCGTTGGTGTTTGCCAATTTAATTATAATGTACTTCACATCTGTCATTTGGGGTTCATTTTATTTGGGATTCTGTGAGCCTCTTGGATTTGTGTGAGTTTTTTCTTCCCTATGTCAGGGAAGTTTTCTGTCATTATTTTTTCAAACAGGTTTTCTATTCCTTGCTCAGCTTCCTCGCCTTCTGGTACCCCTATTATGCAGATGTTGTTTCGTTTTGTGTTGTCCCAAAGTTCTCTTAGGCTGTCCTCCTGCTTTTTAATTTTTTGTTTCTAGAAGCTGCTCTGCTTGGATATTTTTTCCTACCTTGTCTTCTAGCTCACTGATGCAGTCTTCCACTTCTTCTAGTCTACTGTTGATGCTTTCTATTGAGTTCTTTATAGCAGTGATGTCATTTTTCATTTCTTCTTGGTTCTTCTTCATTTGCTCTTGGTTCTTACACATATTTTTGAATTTGTCTTCCATTCTTTTCATCCATCTTATGACCATTTCACTGAATTCTTTCTCTGACAAGTTGCTTGCCTCCATTGCCTCCATTTTGTTTACTTCCATTTCTGGTGATGCTTGTTTATCTTTCATATGTGGGCTGTTTCTTTGTCTCTCCATGATATCTCTTCTCCAGGTGTTTGGTTATGTATTTCTCTCTCTGCTATGTTGATTTAAAGGCACAAAATACAACACAACAAGGCATAACACACAAGGCACTGAACACAGATATATTCATGATACTAATAACCCCAAGTAAAGGTGACCACCTGAGCAAAGAGAATTAGGGGATAAGGAAGAAAGAGGAGAAAAAGAAAAAAAAAGAGAAAAAAAAGAAAAAAAAGGGGGGGTGCAAAAATGAAATTGGGAAAAGGAAAAAAAGTAAGAGATAAAAGAAAGAGGATGAAATAGAAGAGGGGAAGAAACTATTTATATGGGGAGAAAACTCCAATAGAACAGCCACTAATCCCAACAAATTCTAGCAACAGATGCCTAGAGATGAATGCAAACTACAAACAACAACTAATATCAAGCAAAGCAGGGGAAACCAGAAGCAAAAATATAACTGGGGGGAAAAAAGAACCAACAAAACATAAAAAGAAAAAGCGAAACAACCTCACAAACAAGCATACAAAACCCAATATAATCAACAATCAAGCAAACAACAACAAAATGACAGAGAGAAAAAAAGAAAACAAATTTGAATAGTGAAGAAAGAGAAGAGAGAGGTGTATATGGACTTAGAGCAGGGGATTGAAAATTAGATATATAAGTAGGGTGAAATTTTAACAGGGAGTAAAAAGAAGGAATAGGGAAAATCTAAAGCAAGAATAGAGTAAGAGAAACAGGACAACAAAAGGGGAAAAGTGAGGAAGAGAGTTTTGGACATAAAGGTAAAGTTGAGATAGAGTAAAATGATGCTAAAGGAAAGATGAAAATAGAATGCAGAACACTAATCCCAAAATAAAATAAAGAGAAAATAAAATGGCACTTTAAAAAAAAAAAGGTAAAATCGTAGTAGCAACAATAATACTGGTTAAAAATGAAAATGTTGTAATTGAAAAGGAAAAATCAGGTTATGAAAAAAGAAAAAAAAATAGTTTCTTAAGTAAAAGGTGAAAAAAATAAAAATGTGTAGAAGTGAAGGTCCTTTGCTTCCTTTGCTCTTCTGTTTGACATGCCTTACTCCTGTCAGGTATTCAGGAAAGTGTTGACGTTCCCTGTGATACACTGTTCCTCCATGTTGTAAACCACAGTCTTGATTTTAAAGCAGGCAGTATTTGTTTCCCAGACTGCCTGTATTTGTATTTACAGAAGAGTCAGTTTGTGGTTCAGCACCTGGGTGGCAGTGTTTCTGGATTGACCTCCGAGGCTATAAGTCCTCTCTAGCCAGTATTTAGTTTTTGTTTTCCCTATCGCACTTAATACTGGTTTGGGAGAGTCAACTTCCCCAGAGCTGGTTGATCATTACTCCCGCTCTGATTCCCAAGTTCCACAAAAACAACTTTCCCCTGCAGTCTCTGTGAGTGACCCCAATTGGGTGATCCTATGTATTGGGTTTAATAATCAAACACAAAGATTTAAGGAGGAAAAAAAAGAGCCTGAGTAGGTGTGTGAGCTCTCAACACTCCACCATCCAGCTCTGTGTGCAAATCTCCCAAAGTCTCTTCTGCACGTTCTCTCTCCCCTGGCACTAAGCAGCTGGCACACTGGCAAAATCCAAGGCTGCCTTTTTGCACCCAGTCCAGGTATGGGCTGATTTTTTAGAGTTTCCTTCTGCAGCAGCCCTGCAGGACCCCTTCCACACTCGCGGATCACACTGGCCCCAACCGCCATGGACATTGTGGGGGGCGGACTCTCCCCTGGCACGTTTCTCTATCCAAACTGAATTACAAACCGCACCTTTAGGTGAAATCTGACCTTTCCATGAGGAGGATCAGGGCTAGTTTGAGTCCAGGTATTCATGCTGCTTGAGATCCGGTGTTCCCCGTTTCTTAGGTAGTCAGTGGGAGCCATGGTTGCAGGGTCCCTGGATGTATACACTTCTGATATCAGCCACTCAAGATGGAGCAGTCTCCTTGCCTGAGCCCGCCTCTCTGGGAGAGATTTCAGCAGCAGTGGAGGCTGCCTGGTTAGGGGAGCCTAATCCGGCAAACTCCAACAGTCCCCTTTCTCCAGGAGTCCTCTGCCTTTCCTGGCTGCAAACTCTCCCAGCTGAATTTCCTCTGCCAATTCAGGCTGGATGTTACTTATTTCAGCTACTCACCCTATCTGCTCTGGGACAAGGCACTGGACACATCTGTCTACACTGCCGCCATATTTTCTCTTTACTTCTTCTGTTGTACTGCTTTCTATGGCCTGCATGTGCTTTTCCTGAGATTTCCCTAGAATATGAGAGAAACCCTGCTTGGTGTCTGAGTGCGTCCACAGGACAAACACAGCACATGGCAAACAAGGTGATTCCTCCCACAGCTCCCCAAACCAGAGTGAAACCAAAGGCAAATATAATGAGTTCTGACCCATAGAGCAGCAACACCAAGGTGGCTTCTTGTCTCCAATGACATGCAAATAGTTGATATGTGTGTCTGCTTGTGAATGAATACTTGAACTGCTTTGGAAGATGCATTAATAAGCAAAATGTGTCAATCATACCCTCCCCCAGGATGGCCACTGGCAGAGGATAACTTTCCTGGTTTCCAAAGCAGGAGGGAAAGAGACTGGGCTGAGGAGGGAGCTTTCCTGCAGCCACACCCCTGAGAGGTTGCAAGTGAGATACGCAGAAGACACGCATGGGATTGCCGAGGATTCCCGGAGACCACACACTCTGCTTTCATCCCCAGCCAAAGCTCCGACACTTTTCATTGGAACATTCCACAAATGAGGAGCAAATTCAAGCAGAAGATGAAATAAAAAAAGAACCAGCAGACAAACTGCATAAAAGGAATGGAAGTCCATCTACAGCACGTGTGAGACATGAGATTTTATAGTCAGGACTTACTACATTACACCCGGTTACAGGAAGAAACCTTGTCAAAAATAGCAGAACAACACAAACACCATAAAAACAATAATGTTTTGAAATAAAAAAAAAATAAAAAAGTATTAAAAATATAAGTATGATTTTTGTTGTGTGAAGCACCACGTCAAGAATGAGAACACTGCGTGAAGAATTTCTATGACCTCGAAGATAAAACAGACACATTATTCAAGATGAGAGCCAGGTGTGGGAGGGTGGAGAGAGATGGCCGATGATGGAGAGAGAAGGCCCTGAAGGCTCTGGGGACACTGAGGTTTTCTGTGGTGTTTCCTGTGCAGCAGCTGAGAGAAGGAGCAACCAGCACCAGGGGCCGAGTCCCTGCCCAGAGGTGAGCTCTACACAGCAGCTGTATCCCAGTAAGAGGGTCAGGGCCCAGGAGCATTCCCTCACATCATGTCATCAGGGCCCAGCTCCTCCATGCTGACCTTCTCTTGCTCTCAGTCCTTTGGGGAGAGCAAATGCTGCTTCCTCCAGGGTCAGATCTGAGGTGTCCCTGAGGAAGGTGCCTGGGCTTCTTTCCTGTGCTGGTGAAGGGTTTTGGTGCTCACAGGAAGTGGTTTCTCTCCCTGTGTCACTCGCACAGTAATACACAGCCATGCCAGAGGCATTCAGGCTGCTCCACTGCAGGTAGCTGGTGCTGATGGAGTTGTCTGTGGAGATGGTTACATGGCCTTGGAAGGATGGGCTGTATCTGGGATCCCCATCACCAGCCTCCCTCATCTGGGACCCACCTAGTCTGTGACTCACCTTGGTGCACAGCCAGGAGAATGGCCAGGGTGATGGCACAGTCCATGCTGGAGGCTGAGAGTGAAGACAGCCCAGAGCACCCCGCTGGGTGGTGGGGAGGTGATTCTTGAGTTAAAAGAGTGGTTTCCCAGGTGAGTTTGAATATTCCCAGCCCTGCCATCCAGGAGAGATGTCCCAGGGTTCATAACCAAGAACCCTGGGGCCTGAGGAGAGGTGCATGTCTGAGACCCCTGGAGGGAGCGCGACGGGCACCCAAACTGCAGGCCTGGCAGGGCACTCACCTGGGAACTGCCACCTGCCAAAGGGGGTATGGTCACAAGTCAACCAGACCCCAGTGTGTGGCAGGCACTTCCTGGGCTGGGCCTACTGACAGGCAGGGCTGACCAGTGTCCTGATCTGCTCAGGCCCTCAGTGGGCAGAGTGTTCAGGGAACACCTTCATCCTCACACTTGTTAAGGAAGGAAGGGGAAGGCAGAACGAATCAGGGCAAGGGTCCAAAGGGGTTGCCAGTGGAAGAGAGAGAGATGGTTCAAGTCTGAATTAAACAAGCCCATGTTGGAATTGAGATGCAAGACGAGGGTGGGGTCAGTGGATGGACAGGTGCTAAGAGGGAACAGCAGGGCTGCGGTGGGCCTGGTGAGTTGCCCTGACAGCCTTCAACCTGGGGGCCAGCCAGGGTGAACAGACATATCCTGGGGAGGGGTGTTTGGTGGGGAACCCAATGAGGCCTCAAGGGGGAGCACAGACTGAGGGTGGGGGATTCTAGCCAAACCAGCTTGATGGGATTCTGGCTAATAGTGGGCTGTGCAAAGATGCCCCTTCAAGACTACAGATCACAACCTGGTTGAGAAGAGATTGGGAGGAGACTGGTCATGGAGAGGACCTGGTCAGGAGCTGCTTTGACCTTGGTGGGAGGTGTCCTGGTTGGCCGCCAAGGCCAGGGCTGGGGATGCTCAAAGGTGGATCCAGTGGACACTGCCATGTGCAGAGCGGCCATGGTTGTTCTCAAAAACACCTGGTGTCCTGGAAGCTCTGACCCTGCTGAACCCAGAGGTGGTGACTCATTTCATGGATTAATACATTGGATTGGATTGTATATTGTTAACAGTCCGACCAGATTTTCACAAATGTTATCAAAGTGATCCCGGGCATGTAGCACATTAAATTCCAGGGAGCTGTGGAGACATAGCCCAGGGTGCACTGGGCCTGTCCCGCAGACAAGCCTGATGACAAGGAACAGATATTCAGATATTCAGGGGATGGATGAGGCCACTACAACGAAGGCTGCACCAAGGCTGTTCAGAGTGTGAGTAGTAGCCGACTGATTGGATTGGTCAGGGCCAAGGGCTCCTGACACAGGAGAGCAGCCAGTGGAGCTGTGTGTGGACCAGAAGCAGAGGAAGGAAAGGGAAAATGGAACTGCAGCTTGAAGACAGGCGTGCATGCAGCCTTCAGTGTCCAGAGGATAAAGAATGGGAGCCACCTGAGGGCAGTGGGATTGTGAAAGAAGACTCTCCCTATAGGCTGCTGCTGAGCCGCCACTCAGGAGACATCTCAGGCCAGGACTGCGGTGGCCATGGTGCCCTAGTGTCACCCTGAGCCTCAGGGCACCCTGACCCTGTGCCTTTCTGTCCAGCAGAGTGCTGGGCTGAGAAGACCATGGTTAAGTTTAGGGCTAGTCTGTGAGGAGGATAGCAGCGTGAGGACATGGAACCAGAGGATTTCTTGGAAATGTACAGTTTTCTTAATTACAAAATGGGGCTGTACTTTGATATTTGGAAGTTTCTGTGGATTTAAATTTGTGTGTGCATTCCAGGCAGTTGGTACTTTTAGACAGCGGAATGAATATAACAAAAAGCTGAGCCTGCCTGGCATGGATCAGTGGTTGAGCATTGACCCATGAAGTGGGAGGTCATGGTTTTATTCCTGGTCAAGTCATATGCCTGGATTGCAGGCTCAATCCCCAGTGGAAGGTGTGCAGGAGGCAGTTGATAGATAATGCTCTTTCATTATTGATGTTTCTATCTCTCTCTTCCTCTCTGAAATCAATAAATAAAAAAAAAATCTACTTCTACTCTAATAAAAGAGAAAGATGAAAATTGACTGTACCTTCACAACACCGACCAGACAATCAGGAGTCAGTATGCAAATTAACCCAACAAAGATGGCAGGTTAATTTGCATACAGAGGTACCTAGCGGCCGGGAGCAGGGTGGGTCACTTGCGTCATTGCCAGGCGTTCTGCACCACCCCAGTAGCTCCAGTCCTCTGGGCAGTGTGGGAAGGCAGAAAAGCGGCCCTGGCAAGAGCAAAAGTAGTACCAGCACTCAGGTGAAGGAAGGCCCATTCTTTTTTAAAAATATATATTTTATTGATTTTTTACAGAGAGGAAGGGAGAGGGATAGAGAGTTAGAAATATTGATGAGAGAGAAACATCGATCAGCTGCCTCCTGCACACTCCCCACTGGGTATGTGCCCATAACTAAAGTACATGCCCTTGACTGGAATCGAACCTGGGACATTTCAGTCCGCAGGCTGATGCTCTATCCACTGAGCCAAACTGGCCAGGGTGGAAGGCCCATTCTTGCACAAATCTTTGTGCATCGGGCCTCTAGTATTTTTATAAGAAAGAGTTTCAGGAAATCATTAGTTTTCATCTGTGTTGTGTTACACTCAATGGAGTACAATTTTTCTTCCCCTTGTCCAATTTCTTAAGTAAACACTTCTCTTACCATCATTTACTAAACTTTGAGCTTTCTCTGAAATTATTTCAACTGAGGATTCCTCTCCCAGTTCCGCTTTGTGTCAGTGCTGTGACTTTCACCTTCACAGAAATCTCACTGTCTACACAAGCTCTGCTTACTAGGGACACCTTGTCATTCGGCTCACCAGCCCACCTGGCCATCACAGGGGCTTGTCCTACAGACGGGAGAGTGTCTGACATAAGGTGTGTTTGCTGTTAGAAGTGTTCTATGTTAGCTGTGCCCTCACCTTGCACAGGCCTGTCTGTGAGTATCATTGAGTTACCTGGTATTGCCATGGTTCATGGCAGGTCAGCTTAGCAGGAGGCTGATGGCAGCTTCAGGCCACTTGTTTGACACATATCCTGGGTGATCATCGAGAGATGAATATATTTAGTGGGTTGTGTGTGTTGATGACTAATATGTATATATATGCCTAATATGCGAAGTGTCCCCTCGGGAGTTTGACCGATTAGGAGTTTGATCGCTCATTATGACATATGCTGACCACCACGGGGAGGTGTGGAATGAAGGAAGGCCCTGGTCAGCAGCCAGCAACAGGGGAAGGGAGGCCCTGGCCATGAGCCAGCAGCTGCTAGGAACACGACCTGTGAACAAATTTAGTGCACTGGGCCTCTGATTTATTGAAGATGGCAAGGGGCACAGGAGTGCCGGTCTGAGGGAAGGGGCCATGTAGGGACAGTCTATACCAGTCTGAGGACAGAGAGTGTGAGCTTATTTTTAAAAATATATTATTATTGATTTTTAAGAGGAAGGGAGAGAGATAGAAACATCAATGATGGGAGAGAATCATGATCAGATGCCTCCTGCATACCCTCTACTGGGGATCAAGCCCACAACCTGGGCATGTGCCCTGACCAGGAATTAAACCATGACCTTCTGGTTCATAGGTCGACTCTCAACCACGAAGCCACATCAGCCGGGTCAGAGAGTGTGATGAAATGTTTTCATCCTACATTCTGTGGTTTACATACATTGATCAATCCTCGCATTATGGACGATATTCCACTTGTTCATGATAAAAGATCCTTTTAATATGTCCTAGAATATTGTTGACTTTGGGTCTGGGTAAGGGGAGGATGCAAGATTTATTTTGAATCACACATCAGAAATATGCCTGACTTTCAAAAACAGATAGTTACTCTACATACAGGTTTAAAGCTTCTTCTACTAAAAGCTCAACAGAAAATACAGGGCATATGGGGAAAATTTCTATCATTGGAGAAAATACCTGAATAATAATCAACAGGAGATTTTTAGAAATAGGGATGTTAAGGATCATGCAGGTAGGGATAAAGAGAAATAGGACCCTGTGAAAAGGTGATTCCTTGTTACCTACATGCATATCTTCACAGTGTCTCAGTTATAGAAGTTAACACCTTCCCAGGTCCAGAAGATTCACACTTGGGCACCTTTGGCCTCATTACTCACCTGGTCATATCAGCGATCACCCAAGCTGCATAATTCATTGGACTCCCAGTAGAAAATATGTCAACACTTACAGAGAAGAGTGGACACCCCTCACTTCAGGAGCCATTGTGATGGTGTGTCTTTATAAGGAGCCATAATTTCAATGGACCTGGACCCCTGTCTCAGTCCATTATCATCATCATCACCATCATAATTTCATCATCATCATCATCATCATCATCATCATCACCATCATAATTTTCGTCATCATCATTTGCTTACTTTTAATTATTCTTCTCATTTTCTATAGATCTTGTTTTTGTACACACATAAAGATGTTTTATCTCAATTTTTGCTTTTTTATAGTTGTAAGCAAAATGGGTAGCCATACTCTATTTTCTTTTTTGTTTGAGTTCTGACAACTGTTGACTCATTGCTGCCTCTTCTCCACCGGCTGCTGACATGTGAATTGAGTTAAGAAATCATAGTTTTCTCCTTAGATGTCATTTTGAGATTGAAACCACCCACTGGAAGCAGAATTCCTCACCATCCCCAACCGCCTGGATAAAATAAAGCCCTGAACCAGTCTCCTTTCATGGCTTCATAAACCAGCTCTGACTGAAGGGCCTTTCCTCTGCTTCCCAGAGATTTAACCATGTGCATAATAAACATCCCATGTCCCTTAATGTTTGTGCTCATCATCAGCCTAGACATCTGCACCAAGCTGTGTGGGTCCCTCTGCCTCTGCCTGGTGTCCCCTACTCTTGGTGCTATGAGCATGATGTCAAGTCAATGACTGTCATCACTGGGGTTTTTCTTCTCAGCTTTGGGTTCAAATAACTGTGTTGGCCACGGCTAGAAATAGAGATGTTTTTCAATTTAAGGTGAGCATTCAGGTGAGCTGCACTGTTAAGTCATTAGAGCCTCTTGTTAGATTCAGGGCATTTGGATCAGAAAATTAGATGATTGTCATTTGGGCACAAGAGTGTCTGAAAGAGATTCTGTGCCTTTTGTCCACGTGAGAAAGTTGTCTCTGTTTACAACAGACTTTTCTAACTCAGAGACATCAGAGGTAAGTGCAGAATCAGGAATCCAGAGGTTCCCTGAGGGAAACTGTGACATGAAGAGGAAACCACACAGGAAACCAGCCCAAACCTCCAACTGCACCTGCTGCTGGGATGGTCCTTGTGTTCAGGGACCCTGAGCGCCCCCTGGTGGTCAGAGACCTTCCTGCAGGGAGGTTTGTGTCTGGGCTCACACTGACTTCCCCTCACTGTGTCTTGCACAGTAATACATGGCTGTGTCCTCAGACTTGAGGCCATTGATCTGCAGATAGGCCGTGCTGACAGAGGTGTCCATGGAGAAGACACATCTTTCTGAGAAGCCCTGGGCATACGTGGGTTTCCCAGTTTCTGTGTTGATCCAGCCCATATACTGCAGGCCCTTTCCTGGGGCCTGTCTCACCCACTGCATGGAGTAGCTGGTGAAGGTGTATCCAGAAGCCTTGCAGGAGACCTTCACAGAGGCCCCAGGCTTCCTCACCTCAGCCCCAGACTGCACCAGCTGCACCTGGGAGTGGACACCTGTGGAAATGGGACAGGAGTGGGTGGAAAACCCTCTTGACTCTCCCTGGTCCCTTTCTCAACCCAGACACAGGGGAGCCCCTTACCTGTAGCCACAGCCACCAGGAGGAGGGTTCTCCAACTCCAGTCCATGGTGAGGGCTGTGCTGTGAGCACTCTGTAGGGGAGGGTGTGACTGTGGGTGATGCCCTCAGGGCATAGACTTATCCATATTTAATCCAGTCTGCCTCCTCTATTTTGCATATTCATGAGGCAGAGTATTTCATAGCTGAGGTCTTGACCCCACCTGAGAGAAGATGGATGACACAGGGACCAGGCTCAGTGGGAGTCTGAGTGTCCAAGTCCTAATCTTGGGTGGAGGAGGTGAGTCATCTGCCAGGTCCCTGACGTCTGTGCAGTCAGAGTTTCTCCCACTGAGGAACCAGCCCCACAGGACATGCTCCTCATTGTGGGCCCACCTTTAGGTGACATGGGGCCACCTGGCCCAGCTCTGGGCTTTGATACCTGAATGTCTTCTTCCTGGATCAGTGTGTCTCCAAAATGCTGCCCCTAGTGAGGTAATAAATCCATCCCTGTGCCAGTCCCTTACAATTCAGATATCCCGAAGCCATAGAAACACCCCCTTGTGTGGGGTTCTCATGTCTCATTGAGTTTGGTAAATGCTCTGATAGAGCAGGATATTCACAGTCACCTCAGTAGTAGTGTCCACCTTTCAGTTTGGATTGTTTGTATGAAGAGAGGAAGGCCCAGGCCTCAGAGGAAACCCCTGCCCAGCTCCCTCTCACCTGCTCCTGGGGCAGCAGCCTGTGCTCCATGGCCCTGAGCATCCCCTGCTGGCCAGTGCTGGCTCTGCAGGGGAGGGTCCTGTCAGGGATCACAGGGCATTGACCTCTCAGCATCTCTAGTCCAGTAGTGAAGGATGTGCCCTGATGTCAGATTGCTTTCTCAGGGATACCGTGTGATTTTGACATCTCTGGACAGAGTGAACTGTCCTTATTGAACCCTGATATTCTACAGAGAGACCCCAAACCAGGGCTTTAGGAAGCCACCAGGGAGCCTTCTCTAGAGCTGTCAGATGTAGGGACACAGCCCACCCTCCCCTCACCCAGAAGCTGCTGGGGGCTCTGGGGTCTCTTATGTCCTCAGGTTCCTCTCATTGAAGTGCCATCTGCATATCCCAGCATGCGAACAAATCTCACTGCACTTCTATTTAATAAATTACACACACACACACACACACACACACACACACACACACACACACACACACTGTGATGATTTTCTTTGCTATGAAATCCACATTTGTCCCTCCTCCCTGTACATAGCACATGGGCAGGGACCACACGTGGATTCTAGGCCTGGATGTGACTTTCTCTGGAAGCCAATCAAATGCACCCAGGATACAAACACAGACTTTGAAGAGCAGGTACTCGTGTGACCATGTTTTGCAGGTCCTGTACACCCAGATGCAGGTCAAACAGATCAGGCTTTCCCCAGGGAGAGTCAGAGGTGGGGCTGGAGCATCTCTTTGCAGGAGTGATTTATTGGGATTCCCCTGGGCCTGCAGGTGACTGTGCAGGAGTCACCTCTGTCTCACCCCAACTCCAGGGAACAGGCCTTTCTGGGGAGCACCTTCCTCCCATGTGCACAGCCCAGGCCACACAGCAGAGACAGGCTCACACTCTGTCCCTCCCCTCTCCTCAAGTCTTCCAGCAGAAAGCCCCTCCCACAAGGATCCCCTCAGGAAGGTCTCCCAGGTCCTTAACCACAGAGATGTCTTGAGACGCTGGACTCACCTGCTCCCAGAGGGATACGGGCACTGACTCTGGACCAGCAGGCACTCTGACATGGGTGTGGACACGGACCTGCTCCTGGTCACAGAAAGTCATTCTGGGACCTGCCCTCCCAGCATCCAAATGAGACCCTGGAGGACGGGAAACTGGAGGCTGACTATCTGGGAAGGAGACTGTGAGCTCATGATGGGCTAAGACTACAGATGGAGGGAGGTATCAGAGTGCAGAGTGGTTGTACCTTCTATTAAATCACTTAACTGAGATGCATCAACAGGAAGATATATGAGGGGAAGGGATTTTTAACTTCCCTGAAAGAACTGACCATGGGTTTTAACAATAAAGGCTGTCTTCCTAAAAAATTAACAGTGGAACTCCCATATGACCCAGTGATCCCACATCTAGGAATACATCCCAAGAAATCAGAAACACCAATCAGAAAGGACATATGCACTCCTATGTTAATAGCAACACAATTTACAATAGCTAAGATTTTGAAGCAACCTAAGTGCCCGTCAGCAGATGAGTGGATTAGAAAACTGTGGTACCTCTATACCATGGAATACTACGCTGCTGTCAAAAAGAGGGAATGCTTACCATTTGCAACAGCATGAATATACCATACCTGGAGAACATTATGCTAAGCGAAATAAGACAGTCAGAGAAAGATAAATATCACATGATCTCACTCATTTGTGGTATATAAGAAACAGCCTGAACTGATGAACAAAAATAGAGACAGAGGAAATAAATATTTTAGAATATGATGTTATTTGCAGATTTTTAATATTTTCTATGATTTTCAATATCATATGTGATATGATACTATGTTAGTACACTTTTGGTAATATTATTATACTTAAAACCCCTTTTTCTTCAAATATTAATGTTTATTGCATGTACTATTATTATATTTAAATAATATTTCATGAATAATTGGTGTTTATTACATGTAATATTATTACATTTAAAATCATTTTTCTTGAAATAAAAAAGAAATTAAAAACAAAGAGTAAGCAAAAAAACAAAACAAACCCCACCCCCCCCTCAAAAAACAACAATAAAGGCTGTCATGAAACTTCAATTGGTCCCTGAGTTCACACTTTACAAGCTTGGGGAGCAATTCAGAATCCTCAACTTAGAGAAACCTCCAGTGCAAGACCTCTAACTCAGGATGCTCAGAACCCTCTAGAAGCTGCAATTCTGGAAGCAGAAGCTGACCCCTGACCTTCTGTACAAGGGGAGGATCAGGCAGTGGAAACTTCACTCAGTGTGAGAACCAGACCCCACTATCACTCCTGCTTTGTGCTTAATGAGTTGCTCATCATCGCTGGTTGCTGTCCACTCTGAATGCATGAATACCTCCCTTTCCCTTATCATTATAATTGTTATGTGGACACAGGAGTCTCACCCCAGGTTTGGTGCTGATGTCTGGCAGCTTTCAAGCCTCACCCTCCCTCCTCCACTTCTGCCCACATCTGGACATGTGGGTGAGGAAGCCTGGTGATCTCTCCTTTGCCCCTGACCAGGGCCCACATCCATCGTGTCTGTGTGCAGGGGACTGGGCAATGGCCACCCTGTGACCTCTCCCCTCCATCGGGACTGACTGGCTCTTTGCTGCTGAGCTGTCTGTGCCCTGATCATGACTCTGGAGGAAGCCCAGGAACCAATGTCACATGAAGAGGAAAACCCAGCCTCCAACAGAATCCAGGGCTGAACCTGCTCCTCCTCCTGCCCCTGGTTTGGATGCTCTGATCTGTGGGTCCTCAGAGCCCCCTGGTGTCCAGAGCGCCCCCTGGAGCCCAGCCATGCTGTCTCCCTCAGGGAGGTTTGTGTCAGGGCTCACACTGACTTCCCCTCACTGTGTGTCTCTCCTGCACAGTAATACATGGCTGTGTCCTCGGCTCTCAGGCTGCTCATTTGCAGATACAGTGTGTTCTTGGTGTTGTCTCTGGAGATGGTGAATCGGCCTTTCACAGAGTCGGCATAGAATACAACATCATTACTGCTAATGCCTGAGACCCATTCTAGCCCCTTCCCTACAGCCTGGCTGACCCAGTTCATGGGGTAGCTACTGAAGGTGACCCCAGAGACTGAACAGGAGAGTCTCAGAGACCCCCCAGGCTGCACCAAGCCTCCTCCAGACTCCACCAGCTGCACCTCACACTGGACACCTGCAAACACAGATAAGTCCTCATTAGGCAACTCTCACAAGTCCACTGTTTCTCTCACTCATATCCACTCACATACTCAGTATATCTTGTTCTACATAAATTACCTCTTAAAATGGCCACAAGGAAAACTTAGCTGAGCCCGAACCCCATGGTGAGCTCAGTCCCGATCAAGGAATGGGAACACCTGGGGATCCCGGGGCTGGGCTTCTGTCCCAGAGCTGCAGGGTCAGAGCTGGGCTGGTTTTTATGAGCAGAGGAGGACCTATTTGCATGTCCTCCTGCTATATAGGGAGATCTGGGGTTGGATTATGACATAAAGTACATGGTCCCAGAGTTTTTGACATGTTCAAGGGGGTTTTCTGTGAAGAATTACTCCTTATACCTGGGCCTGTGCTCTCCCCAGTGGACACAAATGCTCCAGGAGACCTGTACAAAGACCCAGGAGAGAAAATTTTCATAAAAAGAAAAAGAAGATTTAAACTGAGAGATGCCTTTGACAGTCACCAGTAATGACAACTAAGAGAAATCAACCCTCACAACCTGAGAAAGAAGTAAAAGTGCAAGAGGTTCATGTTCAAGAGACAGGAAGTTCCATCTGACACCATTTCCCCTACAGAGTGATCAGAGGATAAACTAAGACCAGAGTGTGAGCCCAGAGCCTGTGGACCAAGTGCTGGGGGAGAGAGGAGCATCTGTGTGGGTCCATGAGAACCAGAAGCATGAACTATAGAGACACAGACAGAGCTCCCAGGTCCTATTCCTTCAGGGGAGTTTGGTGCTGGACGTGTAGCAGCTGCACTGCCTCCTTTGTGGTGTTTATTCTCTAGACTCTGTTGTAGATCCAGTTTCATACATTGGGATATAGAAGAATCTCTGTCATTACCAGGCATATTTAGGGGAAGCTGTGGCTAATTATTGAGGAATAATTAAGTTTAGGTTATGAAAATCTTGTTATTGAAAATCTGGTGTCGGCATGTGACTCTTGGGACCAATGTGACCATGATCCCATATGATAAGAGTCAACTGGAACCTGCACCTGACTCAGTGCCACATTGAGGAGAAAGCTACCTGGGAACATGATGGGGGATTAACCAAGACCGAGGACACACATGTCCAGGGTTCTTGTTTCATTAGGTTGTCATCTCCTTGTTGTTTAGCCAGTTCAAGTTTT